ACTTATATTCGTTTAATCTCATCTAGCTTATACTTAAATACTAGTCTAAAAGTTTTTTTACGTTTAATAGTTTTAGAAAATCCCATCTTTTATATCCTATAAAAATATTTTTTAAGAAAACTATTATTATCACCATGATTAATTTGCAATGTTAAAATCTGTCAACACACCAGGCATTTCCTATAAGACGCAATTTCAGTAATTTTATTCAATTTAAGCTGATTTAATAATTCCTAACTTTAATCAGGCATCAATATCATTTAAGTACTAGATGCCAAGCGGTATTAAATTAAGAGAATTCTCAAAGTTAATGAATGGAATAGTACTGAAACATCATGCCCTTCTTGTGTTGATGTTTTAACGATAGCGAGTTAAATTAATTTAGAGACAATATTTGCTTAAATACATTTTACGAAACAATCGCAATAGTTATTAAATTGCCTATCTACTTAAATACCAGGGAAATAGTTTCGAATTCAGATCATATTTAAGTTCATTACAAAAGGACAAAGACGAACATTTGAGCTTTGTTTTGGAAATAAAGAGGTACAAAGGAATTCATTCAATTTCATCTAGTTGTTTCAATGACATAGTACTTAAAATTCCCTTTTTAAGAAAATAATGTGCTTTTAATTACGCCTTTAAAAATCTTTTAGTAGTAGTATTATGATTAAGATGGTTGAAAAATAATTTGATGTGATTGTAATATGTGCAGCAAAATAATTAGCGATGCTTGAAATAAAAACCATAGAACAAGATAATATTGATAAATTTTCTCATTGAATGATTTTTCTTACTATTTCTGTCATTTATATCTTGAATATTTCGCAAATATTATTTATATTTTGAATTGTGCAATTTTAAATTAAATATAAGTTAGAAAACACCAAGTTTTTATTAATGCTTTTCTGAAAACTTATTTATGTAGAAAAAAGACTTTTAAATAAAACCTTGTTCAAGAAAAGAAATTTTAAAAGTTCTTATAGAGGTTTCAAAAGTTTTTTGAATCTGTAATTTTTTTTTATCTTCATTAGATTTACGTACCTGACAGATTTCAAAATCAATTACAGGGCTTAAATTTTTTACTGCTTTTTTGTACAAATATAATCATATTTTCCAGATAAGAATCCACTACAGATCCATGCTAGGTTTGAAAATTCCAAATAGGACAAATACCAAAGGTTAGAATCCTCTTGTCATCAAGCAAACCATGAGAAGTTTTTGCAGTTTTCCTCTCCGTTTAACGCAAAAAGGGGTTAGTTCCATCAAAAAGTTCTCAAAGAAAGTCATTTTGCCCCAATACTTGATCCAAGTGTTCCCCTTATTTTTGGATCGGGTTCAAAATTACAAGGCTACGGAGTTCAACATTGATAGTCGTAAACTCAAAATTGAGCCTGCTGTTCAACACCGGTCATTAAAATAAAATGTGAACAAAAAGTTGTTTTTTAAGAAACTAAGTTTTCTTTGCAGGGTTTGTAACTTCGCTATAATTTGTACTATTCATTGAACACATTTTACGCGGTTGTCTCAACTTACGAAAAATCAGACCTTTAAGTAAAAAGCTGTCTAGGACGCTTCATTTCTTGTTTTAAACAATGCACTTTTCTTAAAGTTGTCTTAAATACGAATAAAATACCAGGTAGAAAAAAAATTTCCCATTGACAGACACATTACAAATTTGAACAATTTGGTAATACATGCCTACCATAATTTAAAGATCAGAAATATAATTGCCAAAAAAAGCTTTCACTCCTTGATTAAACTAAAAACATTCAGCATATAAATAAAAACTTACTTGGAATTTATTATTTTATATAAAATAGAAAACTCTCTGAAAAATGTTTCAAAGATCTCAATTTACTTTACAAATATTTCATCGAGAAAAACCCATCAATTGTAAAAAAAATAAATTTCTTCGGCGTTAATAATTCATGCTAAGAGTAAGATCTTGACGAGGTAAGAAGTCCCGAAAGCAACTCCACAAAATCATATATACCGTTGTCATTTTCGCAATCGCTGAAAAATTTACCAACCCTGAATCTACGTCTTTAGAAAGCGGCAGCGCACAATTTTCTTCTCCTCTTCCTTAGTCCTACAAAAAAATAACTACTCATTTTTTTTCCTTGCTTGGCGACGTTCATTCCTGTCAAGGTACTTTGGTGAAAAAAGCATGAAAAAGAAGAAAATAAATCCCATTACCGCACCTTATTTCCCAGAAAAATAACACTACAAAATATATGAATGGTTGTCGCACCTACCTCATCTATCAAAGCTGCAGTGCTGCATCGTGCGTTGTCATTTTTTCTGCAGAAAACCCTTTATCATTTTGTAATGCGGTTTCAAATTTTTTAGAAGCCTCTTTTTCGACTTATGAAATAACGACGGTAATTCGGTGGGAGGGTCTTTTTTTTCCGGAGTTGCATTATATTTTAAGGGTCCGATGGCGTGATCATATATTTACTGTCTTTTATTTTATTCTTTGAAGTTTTTTTTATCTTTGAGTTTTGCTTATTGTTAGATGGCTTATTTGGCGAAACTAACAAAATTTGTTCCCTTGAGGAAAAAATTAGAGAAATAATGAATATTTTTGAAGGAATATAGCTGAAGGAATAACTTAAGAGCTTGTTCCGCTAATAGGAAGAGTTGTTGCCGAAATTTCAAATTTTTCTTTGTTGCCTTTGAGCACGAATCTATAATTTGACACTTTTGTTTTGCTTTCTGTATTGAAAGAAGCTTTTCGGATGCTACACCTCCAGGGTACATGTATATCTGAATAAATTATTCTTCTAAACTTAAAATGTACTAATGAATACTTTTCTAATCATTTAATTGCATATTCCGAGTACATCCCGTGTATCTTGTAATATACTTCTATGCTAATTTTTCCATGAAAAAAAAACGCAACTAACTTCCTTCTTTTCGTTAAACAAAGGGAGGTTAAATTGCATTTTAAAATGCTTATAAAGCAGTCGTTTTTTTACTATCTTCTTCTTTTAATTTATTAATATAATTCTTACTTCTGTATTAAGCTTAATCTTTGAGAGGTTTAAATAAGTTGGCTGAAAATTAAGTTAATAGTTTATAAAACTTTTATCTCATTTTCTGTTCTCGCAATATAATTCGCAGTGCCCACAAATTTAAATTAAGTATTTTCTTAACTCCTTTGATTCGAGCCGGAAGGGCTCAAACCCAAAAGCATTCGCTTCCCAAAGAGACACCCTAGGTTCGAATCCCATATATGACTGGTTGATTTATATATTGCGCATGCCTCTCTCCAACTACAGTGCTAAATTTAATTACTCCATTCGAAAGACGGATAATGTGGTCGAATTCCTTTGCTTTCAAGATAAGGTTTTCATCGTTCTTCCTGTTTATGCAATTCAAATGTCCAAAAAAAAATCGTCCACTAAGATGAGTTTTCCACAAAGCTTATTGCAGAAATTTCCATTCACTTCAGACTTGAATTCAGAATTACAAGGCCAATTGATAATCGAAAAAATAGGCCGTTCAAATCTATAATTATTATTAAAATAAATAAATAAATTAATTAATTAATTAAAAAGAAGGAAATAATAGAATAATCGTTTTGATTTTCAAAATGGCTTTGGCGATGAAATGTTCTACATCCATTAAAACGAGTCAGTTTGAATTTCGGCAATGGATCACTGTTTTTTATACTGCCCTTAGATGATCAATGTTCTGTCGCAAAATATCCTTAAAATTAGTTGGAGTGTTGTTTCAAATAATCTTGTTGTCGAACTAAGCAGAGAAAGTTCGCATGAATTTCCTCTTTGCGAGCATAAATGTGGGTTCGTATTCTTAAAGAATTACTTCACGAAGTTGAATTTGTATAATTCTAGAGCCAGAGGATTCCTTGTTTTTGCATTTATTGTAAAATTACAATTCTAATAAAATCCATTCGATAGAAACTAATGTTTTAACATAATTAATTGAATTTTGAATCATGAAGTTCTTTGCTTCCATTTGACAGAACCTCCCGCTATCTTGCCTTTTGTTCTGTTGTAATTTTTTTCTGCAACCCATTTCAAGAAAAAATATATTTTTACATTCCATTTTCTTTAAAGAAAGGAAGGTTGAGTTAAATTTTAAAATTGATAGTGCCATCATAGATTTACTGACATTTCAATTACTTGGTCATTTATTTAATGGAAAATATTCAAACAGCAAAATTTAAGGAAAAGAAAGTGTCCTAAATCGTCTTAAATCTGAAATCAGCTTTAAATATATAAATTTAGGCTTACAGAGTTCAAAAATCATAGAGTATTAATGTATGTGGGGTTAGCAATAAAATCTAAAAATTAGCTTTGTAAAAAATTATTTCGTGTTTGAAAGTAAATCATACATAAAATAACTTGATTTTCTAAAGAAGAATTTTCAAGCCTGATTTGCTCAGCAAAATAGTGAAATGAGCGTGGAAGATTAATTTTCGAACTTGCTTATTAAATTAATGTTTATTTTTCAAATACATTAAGCACATAGGTAAACGAAAACGTGGTTCACGCTTTATTCTACCCAAATAGTACATAAAGCTGAAAAAACAGTGATAAGTATAAAAATTAGTTTTATTGCAACATTCATTTTTTGTGGTTACTTTTCAAACTTACTGTTTTGTAGCATGAATCAGGACTAACATTATCAAATATGTTATGGGATATCTAAAAAAATATTACTCTTTTCTAATTTAATATTTTTGTTATTCAGAATTGTGATCTAACTGTTCGGTAGTATTGTATATAAATACATAATACAGAAACAAATGTACCTTTATTTCTTAAATAGAAAACTTATTGGACAAACTAAAATTCCCACTCTATCTTTGAATGATCCTGATCTATTGTGATCAAATTGTTCTTATAAGAATAAAATTTCACTGTAAAACTTTATGCTGTTAAATAACATTTTTCAAAGTATTTGCATAAAAAAATTTCTTTTGTTAAATTCCATAATGCTTAGTTTTTAATTATTATTATTATTTTCAGAACGAGCACCAGCCGAAGCTACTTTTCGTGGTTCAGAATATCTAGCATTCAACCTCCTGTCTTTGAACTCAGAGCCAATCCTGAGCTTCAGCGATCAAATCTCACTGTTCTTCAAATCCCGTCAACCCAGCGGTTTACTTCTATACACCGGAAGAGGTGAGGACCACTTATTGCTAGCCCTGAGAGACGGTGGAATCATTTTAGTAATTCATCTGGGTTCGAGTTCAGTAGAGAAAGTGCTGAAGCCAGCTAAAGTGAGATTTGATGATAATCAGTGGCATAAGGTGCTCGTCCATCGAAAAGTCAGAGAAGTACGTAAAATTTACCTTTGAAATAATGCAGCACAGGAATAATCAAAGACAGTATTTGAAATTCCAGAAATTGCTAGTTTATATTGCTTCTTGACTAGCTGATAGAGAGGTAGGGGAGAGTGGGGTCAATTGTAACATTTTTTACTTAACTATTTTTAACTGACAAAAATTCCAATATATTATTAGTATTAATTGACAGACGAGTAAAGTAGGCTATCCTCTACTAGAAAAAAAAATAAATACCTTATTTTAAATTTTATTATATCAGTTATTAACAATTTTTGACAGTCGTGCACTTGTTACAATTGTCCCCACTTACGGGGTCAATTGTAACAGTTCATAAATTCAACTAAAACATAGTTAATTATACATATTATCATAGTTGTGATATATTTTTTTATTGATCAAAATAGTAATGATACTTTAGGAGTCAAAATAATGATGAGCAGAGACCTAAAGGGTCAAACTTTAAGGGGTTAAAAATTTTAATTTATGCTGTGAAAGGTGACAAGTGAAATAATGCACATGCAACATAATATAAATGATATAGGAAACTATGGGTGGTTCTTAAAGAGTTAAGTAATGGTTTGTAAACATAAAATTATTTATTTTCAGCTGTTACAATCGTCTCTTTACTTATTGTTACAATTGTCCCCAAGACGCCATTTCAGCTTCATTTGTTAAAAACAATGCTAGTTAATTAACAAAACTAGTTTTTTTTTTCAAAATGTTAATTAAGGTGTCCACTTACATATTCGGTTAATAATTTTTATTTGTTTAAACAAAATTACTTTGCTACAATATAATATTCTAATACCAAAAAAAGTACTTACGTAGCGTGAAAATATCTTTTGCGATGTAACTCTTTCAAAAGTACATAAAAATGGTTGCCAGCAGGGGTGTACATGTAGATTTATTAAATACACCTTGTTCGCCACCTAGGAACCAAATCTAGAACCCGACACTCGAAATATTTGCTCTGTTACAATCGTACCCTGTTACAATTGACCCCACTCTCCCCTACCTATTATAGTGCTGAAACGAATTAATTGAAAAAATAACAGATCATTGATAAGAATTTAATTATTTCTTGGCTTACTGATGGAGATTTTGGATACTATGTTATAAATTGCAAGCGTGGGTCTATACTGCTAGTTGATATTGCTTCTTGACTAGCTGATAGAGAAGCACCTATTATAGTGCTGAAACGAATTAATTAAAAAAAATAACAGACCATTGATCAGAATTTAATTATTTCTTGGCCTACTGAAGGAGATTTTGGATATTATGTTATAAATTCCAAACGTGGGTTAATTTTAAATATTAAGAGATCCTTTCCTTAAAGAATAGCTTCCTTCAATACGTGACTACAAGGCTTTTCTGGGTTAAGAGTAAATTTTTGAGAAAGTAACGTTTGATACTTCTTAGTATCTCTATGATTATAATTCTCTATTAAAAAGTATGACCAAGCAACAAATTAAGAAAAATTTGCTGTTTTCTCAAACAGCAAATACAATGATGCAGGCAAATACAATGGTACTAAACAACAAATACAATGATACTAAAATCGCAAAATAATGCTGGGACTTGAAGTAAATTTTCTACGCCTATTTTACTTTTTTAAAAACAAATAAAAATAAGAACCAAAAAAAATATATAAACACCTTTAGAAGCACGTAAATAATAAAGTTTTCAACACACAGAAATCTTTTCAATTAAACTTTTAAAGAAAAACAGTAATTATATTTTATTAGTTTCACACTTTAATCTGATTTTTATTTTAATTTACTTATTTTACTAGACTTTCATCGCTAAATAAATTTACAATTCCTTTTTTTATCAAATTATTCAGGTTGAGTATATTTCTCCCTTTTATTTTAGGAAATTTCCTTACAAAATAAGCCACTTTAATTCTAATAAATGATATAAACATATCATGTTGTATTAACCAGTGTTGAAAATCAATCAAAGAGCTGTTTCGATGACGGTTTTAAATTACTGAATTTAAGTAAATTAGAATTAGCTTTTGAATTTAGGCATTGACGATCCGAAATGAATAATATACCCTGCATCACAAGCAGACTAGCTTGCAAGAAGACCCAATTTCAACCCAAGCAAGTTTCATCTACAAACAATAATTGCAGATTTTATTTTATTTCATAAATGGTGCTAAACACCAGCTCCAATTCTGAGTTTATGACTATCAATGTTCAACTCCATAGACTTGTAATTTTGAACCTATCTCAGAAGACAAGCGTACTCTTAGATCAAGCATTGGGATAAACTAGAGTTCGTGGAGGACTTTTTGATGGAACTAATCCCTGCACTTGTGTAACTTGAAAAGAGGAAAGTCACGAAAACATTCCTTGATTAGCTCGACGGCAAGGAGATTCTAACGCATGACCCGTCTGCCACTGATGATATTTTACGTTTGTGCTATGATCGGTGCTAGCCAGGAGCAGAATTCGTATCAACTAGTCACTTTTGGGATTCAAACCTGGATCACCTCTTTGGGAGGTGAACACTCTATCTTCTGAGCCACAGCGACTCACAATTACAGAGTTGATCAATTGAGTGCTTAATCCACAAGCTCCCAAATGATAAAATCTATAAATTTCTAAAGCTCATACAAACCGTTTGTGCTATAGAGCTTACAATTTTAATCTATTAATTTGCATTCAAAAAGGAATTTTTCTTAAATTGCTTGTCAACCGCTCGATGCTAACGCACTTAAAAAAAATAGTGCATTGAGTCCCTCCGCGCGGAAGAAGTTAAACTTCGTAACCTGCGACGCTAATTGTAGAAGAATCATCAGTCGTAGAAGGATCACTTGTTCTATTCAACGACTCTTTTTCCTGCTCCGCTCGCTTCCGTGCTCTGTAATAACGGTAATATTGTGCATTTTTCCCTCGTGGACCTCTTGAACCAGTGGAAGTGCTTGTGGTTGCCTCATCGTCTCGCCATGGAAAATGTATTTGTATTAATAAAGTATGTGAAGGCGCCATAATGTAGTTTCAAAAGAGAAAACCTAACAATCAATTGATATTCACAAGAGACGTACCTTGACATAACCTTAAATCCGTCGCATTGTCCGTGGGATTGTTTTCACTCATTTTTCACAATTGTTATCCACTAAATTTGAAAATAAAAAATACTATCCTATTAAATTATATGTGTATCAAATCAAACTAAAAAAATATTTATAGAAAAACAATGCTTTTATGACTTTTATTATTTTTATGCTAGTGAGAACCAAAACAATATGGAAATGAATGAGGGAAAACTGAATCCTGCCATGTGATTTCCCGGCCAATAAAAATTTAGCGTTAAACGTTTAACGCAACCTTGTTGGAAGTCGCATAAGAAGTATCACTTCAAAAAATTTCTCTCTAAATTTTATACTTATACATTCATCCACTAAGATCTGCTGAATTTGAAGAGGTGATAAAATAAACTGATTTGGTAAAATAAGATCTTTCTCCGAGTTATCTCATTTTTTTCAAAAATGTCACTTGGAGCCTTCATCTGCAAAACTCTTCAATCATAATTTTTAAATTAGTTGTTATAAATATTGCTGTGATGCAACAAGTTCGAATATTATATTTAAGTTTTCCACAGACAATTCCAAATTTAACTACAAAAATCATCACTGTTTACATAAAAAATAATAAGAACAGAACAATCATACTTTCCTTTTTCATTGCTATAAAAATTGCCTTTTTCAGTACAACTCATCAAAACATTATCAACTGTCTCTTACATGTGAATGAATTATGAATAAGGGATATTTAAATTGAATTTAATTTGATGTTCACTCTTAAAAGCTTAAATGAAAAATTTATTGGAACAAGATGTTCAAAAAAAGGAAATAGAAAGCACAACTGACATTTAAAGTTTAGCTTGATCCCAACTCGCGCATCGGTCGTTTAGGGGAAAAAAATTAATTAAAATACTCGCTCAAGATTTAATTGGCGCTGATAATGTCAAGTCAACTAATCATTTGGGAACGATTTCGCGGCCGCAGAGTTTACGTGGATTGAGATTTATGAAGCGTCTAGAAACGTTTTTTTTTCTCCTTGTTTGATGTGAAAGCTATTCATTTAAAAACGTGCCCCGCGTGTAAAATTGTAGTCCGGATGTAATCGTGTTGTTTCTTGCATGATAGGATCTTAAAATGAAGTTTGTTGATGATGTCAAGCCTGGAAAATTGAGTTTTTAGCTTTTTAAATATTTATCTTCTGCATTATAAATTCTATCTACTCTTCTGGGAAATTCAGTCAGGTTACAGTGAAAGAAAGACTTTTGAGTTATATTATGCTCGTGCCTGAAACCTAATTGTTGTAACAAAAGATTTTTAAGATCCACTTTGTCGTTTCATCCCTTTAGAAGTTGAATATTGCTTTGCATGCAACGAAAGCAGACTACAGAATGCAGAAAATTAAACCACACTTTCAATAGTTAGTATGGCGTAACTACCACTACGTTTATTAAACATCAATTCACTAGTATATAAGACATGCTAACTCGATTCCATCTTGGGGTATCTTAAGTAGATGGTGGTTGGCATGGTCGATAGTTCTTTTTCCTACAGCCAAGAAGGTCATGATGGATCTGCAATATTTTTAACCAACGACATGAGCGTGACAATTTATTCAACATTGCATACTGGCCTCCTTTAGTTCCTAGCCAAGAACACGTGGTAGGAGCTGTATACAGTAGACGGTTGTGTGAGTGGTTGCTCCTGTGTTGCTATTAGCAGTCGAGAGTTTGTACGCGTCGATCTGAACCTGGGTAGGTCTCAAGCCGCTAACGGAAATAGAATCCCGGTCATACACATGTGAGATTAGAGACTCAATCAGTATGCCATCGTGATTCAGACTCAAAATATCAAAATTTCAATACTAAACATGGAATAAAACATTTAAACTCGAATATTTTTCTGGATATACGTATTTCTAATAACATTCATGTTATTTGTTAACTATGCCTTAAATTGGTCG